AAAGAACAAAAAGTGTAGAATGACATACCTCTTACGATTAGAAACTGAAATCAAAGAATTTGGTTAGAGGGTTGATAAGAAAAGGTAGCCAAAAATCAACCCTACAATTTGCCTAAATTTCCACCAAAAAAAAAAAAAAACTCCCCATATTTGTATTTGTCTTTTTTCTCTATTTATGCAATATTTTTTCCTCCAAGTATGAAGGGTAATCCCATCCCGAGTTATTATGAAAGAAATGATCAAGGCTCAAAATAGAATCATAAATGATATGATTTCTATTTGAAATAATATGTCAAAGATGACCTTTCTTTATTCCAAATACAAACCACCTAGATTAATAAGTCTTGACCTCGTTCAATGAGCTTTATTCAAGTCGGTAAATGTTGAAATTGCATAGTATCAATCATAAGAGAACTAACGATATCCTTAAAAGATATACCCGAATTTAGAATAACTTGTTATTTAGCTTGGAACGATGGTTGCACTTGTTGATATCTTTGACAATTGTGAATTGCATTCTCAACAACTTGATTCTTATAACTAGTGCAAGTGCTAGAGTAGGGGTCATATTGGTATTGTGGTCGTTCTAAAAATCTCGTCATGGCATAATACACACCAATAGGTTCTTGTTGAAGCATTGAGCACATATCCGATGAATGTCCTAATATCAAACATATGCCATAACTATGAACTTGTTGCACATTTTCTACAACCATTTGATGTGCTAGAGAGGTTAGATTAAAAATTTGTTACACAAAAGCGAGATAATCTTTTGAATTGTAGGTCATATTGAGAGTCAAACTATTAAGAATACTAAGTCATGTTAAAAAAATAAAAAATAAGATAAAAATAATTAGAATACAAAGAAATAAGTAATTTGAAAGCAATCTTCTCTAAGCAACGTTGCCAAAATTTGATTGCGTGTTGTACCGTCAACAAATTAGTTATTTATAATATCCTCACAGTAACCTTAACAACAATAGTACAATTAAGGCAAGTAAAGGTCGAACCCATAGGAATGAGGCTAAATTGATCGTTTCTTTTGATTGATTGTTCTTGTTGTGTAAAATGAGGGTTTTTGTGTTTGGAGTGCTTGGAAACAATTAAATATGAATTGAAATATCAATAATAAAGAAACTTTGGTTGAATTTTAGTATCCACTTTTGGTTTGGTCGTCGATCATCGATTTAAATATTGACTTATCTTAAACATGAATATTCATCGTAAGACAATATCATATATGTTGTCTTCGAGTCTTTCCTTACTTAGTCGTCAATCAAATATGCGATACTCGATTAATTTCTTAGCTATTGAAAAACCTACTAAGCACTCGGATAGATTTAATCCAATAACAACATTAAACGGAGAAAGACCGGTGAAGTTAAACCATATTCCTAAGTGCTAGAGAAGATGTAATTTGGTTCTATGTTTTCTAAGAGATTGAATGAAAACATGAAAAATAATCATCAACCCCTAGTTACTACATCGAGCAAGTTTAGACAAGCAATTATACGGTTTTGAATACTTAGTTAGCAATAAGTTAATATGATCAAAAAATTAACATGCATTCTAATCAATATAATCACATCACCATGAACCAATCATACGGAAAAACATAAAATACCCAAACAAGATAAGTTTAGAAATAAAACTCGTAATCTTTGAGCAATTTAACCAAAATTCTCAACTTGATTCAACCAATAATAGAGTTTAGTTGCTCATAATGAGTTATAAAGTGAGAGTTTTCTATTTTTGGTGGTTGCTAAGAGTTGGAATCTCTCCCTAGAATGAGAGAATAAATAAAGTGAAACCCCGACTTCTCTATTTATAGCTAAAAGTAGGATAATAACACACATATGGTAGCCCTACATGGCTTATTTATTGTGAGACATGGCTTGCTTGACTAAGGGACGTGATCATGTGCTATTTGCACTTTATCTTATGTTTTTTATTGCTTCATCTCGTTTCCCTAGCTATTGCCCGTGTGATTTTTTTACCTTCATCTAGTGTCCCAAGCTTATACTCCGTATGGAATTTGCACTTCATCCCATATTCCCGAATAATCAGCTTGAATAAACTTGATATAAGCATAAAAGTTGTAGCCCTATTTCTTATCGCTCCAACGCATTAAGGCTTATATCAATTGGATATCAACGACTTCAATTATGAGTGAAATACTAATACCGACTCAACCTATCTCGCTCAGCCTTAGGATTCCAATTTGCAGCTGAATTCCTCTATAATAACAACTTAGTTTGGACTTAAGACCTTCATAAGACTTGTAGGTATACCTCTTAAGTATTCCATAGGCTTTGCCTTGCATCAATTAGAGTTCTAAAACTCTAGATAAAAATTAAACTCCACAACTGATTTGTACTTCAAATGGGATTCGGATCGGTTTTCTAGATCGAATATGAAATATTGTTTAGAGATCCAAACGAACTTAGATTTTAACCCACTATATCATTCTGAAAAGATTGAGATGTCCTCTACAAAGTGTTTGAAGATCACTTTTTCCAAAACCAACTCTAAGGCTTCGGAAAACTTGTAAGAAGTCCGAAATGTCTAAGTTAATCATGCTTGGACATCCACATAGTTTCCTTTTTATTTCACACATAACCATGTGACTCTTCTAAGCCTCTTTGGTGACTTTTCTTTTCCTTATTTTGGTTTTGGATTTTCTTGCTTCGATTCATCTTTTTTTTTTTTACAAAACTTGAAACTATCATCTTGATCTTAATTATCTTAATATAATACAATAAATATTAAAAGATTCAATATAATAAAACATAAAAATCATATTAATTATGTATTCATCACATATTACTCTACCATCAACACCTTCACATGATAGCCGATGTAATAGGGACAAAAATTAAGAAAAAAGTCTATCTAGCTTCAAAGCAACTCGAAAGTAGTCGCAAAGAACCAAGAAAGAATGACAAAGAGGACAACTAAAGCAAATTTTTAATGATGGAGTAAAAATGAATATCCAATTCTAACACAAGGCAAGACGAATTTGTAGGATCTAAATGAATATTGATGTTGACCGACAAAGAAAATAATTCAAAGAAGAAGAAAAAATGGGGGAAAAAAAAGCTAGGCAAGAGCATTAAATGCTTTGTGGGAGAAGGAAAAACAATGACAAAAACGAGTAGAGAATAAAGGAAAAAAATGATAAGAAGGTAAAAGCGTAACAATATTCAAGCATCCAATGACAATATAATAACGAAAAAGAAAAAAATTAATTTTCAAAAACAAAAATACCACATGACACATGCAAGAAGACGCATAATGTAAGCATAAAACTAGGGGTATTCACTTTCGATGAAAACCGAATAATCGAATTGAACCATATCGAAATAATAATTTTGGTGTGATTTTTTTTAGAAACTAAAAAAAAACCCGAACGGAAATATAGCCGATTTTCGGCTTCGTTTCAATTTTTTTTTAATTAGGTTAAAATCAAATAGCCAAAATTATTTTTTTTTTTAAATTCATCGATGAACAACGTCGTTCATTCCAAGTCCTCACACCTTCACGTCACCCTCACATAAACCTACGCCGATTAGAGTTAAGTCAATTAGCCCATAACCAATTCTTGTTGCATTGATTACATGAGCCAACCGGCCCAACGCCAAATGACCATAACCAATTCTTGTTTATAATTGCCCAAGAAGGTACATAATTTCTTTCTTGATTCAATTTATAGTTTAAAAGAAAAGATGTGAGATAGTGTTTTTTTTTCTATGTGAAAGAAAACTAGTTAATTTATGGACTCGATAATAATTAGTATGTGTCTTTTTAGTAAACACATATAATTTAAAATTGCGCTAAAGAAAGTTGAGTGTTTAACGTTTTAATGTTCTTCATTATTCAAAAACAACATTGTCATTTAATTAGTAAAGGTTAGCTTATGGTCAGTAGTGTTTAACAAGTTACTCAAAATTATTAGTTCTAATTACGTCAAGTTAATTAAAAGTGTCTTTCATAATGACAAATAAGTTAGTTATATTTGAGCTTCAAAGCATGTTCGTTTCTTTTTAGAAGGAATTATTAAAATATCTTAATTATAACAAATATTTAGCAAGTATTATCTACCGATAATGATAGACAATAACATATATTATATATTATTAGGCTTTATATGATGATGATGACATCTTGTATATATATATATATATCAATTAATATTATATTAGTAATGATTATTGAGGAGTAGTAATATAATAGTAAATAGACAGAGTTCAATGAGATTGAAAAACGTATACATATAAGAACATAGCCTAAAATCGTAATGCAAATATTAAATTTATTTTTTCGAAAGTGTATGATCCTTTCCAAAATCAAAAGTATAGATAATTACGAGTGAAAGCCGAATTACCGAATAAAAAAATTGATATATTTCAAAACTAAATCGAAAAACCGAATAATAATTCGGTTTGATTTCGATTATTTTTTAGACAATTTGATTAACCAAAAATCAATCTAAAAAATTTAAAATCGAACCGAATTACCGAACGAACACCCATACATAAAATAGACACAACAAAACATAAACAACAGTGTAATAACAAGTAAAGAAATAGTGCTTAAATAAAAAATTATGCATGTTTTATTACAGTTTTGTAATAAAGGAAACTAACTAAAAACCAACCTAAAAAAATATTTTAAATTAATAGACGTTTCGCGAGGGAGATTTTTTTTTTAATTAAATTTGTAAACAACACATAGACGTGAAAGGAGATAACTGGTTTCCAATTGTCCCGATGGTCCCATCACATTTGTCATCCTGACGTAACGACTGCCTGACCCTTCCTTTTTGTCCAATTTGCCGTGCTCATTTCGCCACTCTCACGGTCTCCTCCCATTACAAGCAGTGCGGCAATTGCAGGCACCCTTTCTCCCTCTCTCTTCAATGTCAAATACCCTCTCTTACATGCCTCCTCTTCTTCCGCCTCTTAAAAACCCTAACTTCCTTTACTTCCTATTTTCCCAAAATGCCCTACCGTTTCCTCTCTAATTCTGCTTCTAACCCCACCACCAAAACCTCCGACCTCATAAACGACAACGCCGTTTCTCTCTCCTCAACCTCTACCTCCTCCTCTGCTTCTCCAGACATGTGGAATTACCTTTGGATCCCTTTCTTAATCTCGCTCTCTAAAGCGGTAACTCCAGCTCGAGCAGCAACAGCTACGACTTCTTCTCCCTCGATTCTTCTCCCGACTCAACTCGCCGAGGACTCGCCTTCTGTGCCTAGATGTCCGGCCCCCGACATCAAGCTGAATTACCGGCCCGTGATTGGAATTTTGAGTCATCCGGGCGATGGTGCCTCCGGGCGGCTTAATAACGCGACGAACGCTTCGTATATTGCGGCGTCGTACGTGAAGTTTGCTGAATCGGCTGGTGCTAGGGTTATTCCCTTGATTTATAACGAGCCACGAGAAATTCTTTTTGAGGTATCTTGATTTTGAAAGGAGAAGTGCAGATATTTATTTTACAGTGAGAAGAGAGTTGGATAATACGATAAGATCAAATTGGAAAGGAAGTGAGCTGGAAACTGGAAAGAGGGATTTTCGAGCTTTTGAAATGATTGTAATCGAGAAAAATGAGAGATTTTTTTATTTTATTTTTTTATAGTAATTCTGGAATTAAGTATGCTTAGCTGAGTTAATCTGGAGTTAGAAACTTTGTTGATGAAAATGAAATGAAACAAAATCTAAATTTTTAAAATTTTTGTGCATGATCGTTAAAAAGTATAGTCTGGCTTGAATGCAATGCTTGCATCAGTATTGCTATCATTATCTTATATTCAAGAGTTGATAAATGATTGTTATGCTTGCTTTGTGGTTTTGCATTGCAGAAGCTCAATCTGGTAAACGGAGTTCTCTTTACTGGTGGTTGGGCAAAAACCGGTTTGTACTTTGATACTGTGAAGGCAATTTTCAAGGTAGGTAATTTTTTAAAACAAAGCTTTAACACTAAAATGGATTTCAATAAAAAGGTGTTTTGCAATACGTCTGGAGCATGCACCTCAACGTTTGAAATATGTTAATGCTTCACCAAAGAGAATAAAAGAAAACACGGGAATCTGTACTGTTAGTTGTCCCTCCAAACTGTTGTCAATTCAATCTTCTCTTGTAGGAAATTTTAGCGAAGAATGATGCAGGCTTCCATTTCCCAGTGTATGCCATCTGCTTAGGCTTTGAACTTCTGACAATGATCATTAGTGAGGTAATATATAGCTCATAATCCCTGAAATATATGTATACATAGTGCGTAACGATCAGACATTTCCATATTTTCCATTTTGTCTGACTGATTCAATGCTACAAGAAGGATGGCCAATTTATTTGTTACTTAGAATATTTAGTGTTAATTAGGATTTTATCATTATTAGGATCAGTAGGGTGTTTTTGCTTTATAATAGCTCATAGTGAGTAGGACTCTTCAGGACTTTTGGTGAGCCTATATAAGCAGACATATTATGGTTGTTTTTTTTTTTTTTTTTACATCAATTGGTATTTGTTTTGCATCACCAAGCTACTCCTGTCTCAAACTTTATTGCTATGGGACTGTTCTTGTCCAAGGCGGTTATTTCGGTTACTTTCTGTTGCTACTTCACCTGATTTAATGTTGAGAAGAGGTAAGACTTTAGTTTTTTCTGTTCTGTGAGATGTATAATTCAATTAGATATAGCCTTACAGTGCATTGGTGATGATGGTGGTAAAGTTATTGGTAGAAGTTCTTTTGGCCTCTTCGGTCATATTATTAAAGAAAAATACCATTGGCGTGAACGTTATTGTAACTATAATCGAAATTATGCAGCTTATTGTCTTTTGTTTACTTGATCATCCATCAATGTCAAAATGTCCCAAGTAGTAGTTTCAAATATTAATGCATTCTCAGTAGTGGAAATTCTTACAACTCTTAAGATACTTGAGAAATATTATGAGCACGACTGTTTTTTTCCTGATAACAGGACAATCAAATTCTGGAAAAATATAATGCAACAGATCAGGCTTCTACTCTTCAATTTATGGAAAACACAAGTATCGAAGGAACAGTGTTTCAGAGGTATATGCACTGTAAATTTTTTCCATCTTGTTAGCTTTGGTAAAATTCAAGCATTCCTCTTGTACCAGATGGTATAAGCATTCTCAAATATTTGTTTTTAGCAAACATAACACACTTCAGTTCTTTTTTTTTTTTTTTTTTCCAGTTTCCTTACAGAGCCACAAAAGGATCTTAGTAAATTTGTTAAACAGTGTCAAAAGCAAGTAACTAGTGTTGGTCCTGCAAAGCAAGGATTTGTCTCAATGACCAGCATACCTGAATCTGTCTTAAAGCCAATAATCGCTCAACACTTGCTAAATCAAGAAAACTATAAGTTCTCAGATGAACAAAAACGACAAAGATCAATTTCTGTCAATAACCAAAGTAAAGAGCTTTTCAAATTCTCATATACGCAAGCAAACTATTGTACTATCCAATCAATAGTTCCTTCATCATCAATATTTGTTTTGCTCCTTATTATGCTGTTATATCAGTCGTGTTTTACATGCCAAATGATCACCCTTGATTTTTATGTGACTTGGTTACTGGCATGGAGTTGTTTCCTTTACTTGATATAACTATCTTATTTCCAATATGGATGTGTGGTGAATAAGGTGTGCTGAAAAAGTGAATAAGTGAAATACTTACTAGGTGAGTAGTATCAAACGGTATTATCCAGTTTTTACGCTGCAAAGCATGATATTTAGCATTATGCAATCTGCATAGGATAAATGAAGGGCTTTTGTATGATGTCATGTCTGTTTTTCCTAACTTCTTAGACATTTATTGTGAATTTTGTTTTTCTTATAGTTCTATTGTCATTCGATGTCAACAAAACTGCTAGTTAACATCAATATTCCTTTGCAGATTTCCTCCAGATTTGCTTAAAAAGCTGAGTACAGATTGCCTAGTCATGCAAAACCATCATGTGAGTTTAAAAAGCTGGTAGTACCTTTGGACCTTGGTTGCATGGTAAAATAGTGACACATGATGCCCTGTTTCTCTTCTCTTTCTCTGTTTCGAATTCTGTAATTGAAGGCATTTTACACTTTAAAAAGTACATGTTATTTTATTTTATATTGGCAAAGTGTTCTGCCTTATAAACCAGCATTACCTGTCCCTTTCTTATGATTGAAAGAGATCTAGGAATATCTTGATATTCATTAAATTCAAAACTGATAAGGAGAAAGTAAATTTGATTTCTTCTTAATCCGGGCATATTTTTTTAATACTTATACTGAAGAATTGTCCCTCAAAAGTCAACTAAAGTATACTGGCTGATGAGTATCCCTTACGTGGAAGACACAGATTCTGTAGTCAGGAGGGTGTTGTCTGGAATTATTTTTCGTCCCTTGGGAAATGTTTTATGTTTTGCGTTTCCAAAATTTAGACCAGATTGGGGAGATGATACTTGCTTATTTACTTCTCTCAATTCAAAGTTTTTTTCCACCTGCTCTTGAACATGCTGGTTGCATTAATGCTGTCTTAATCTTCAAATGTTCTACTATTAGTCTCAAATTAGAATCCCAATCCATTGGCCAGAAAGGTTGGTTTCCCTTGTTTATCTAACTTATCTGATTTTCCAATGCAACAGTTTGGCATCTCACCACAACGGTTTCAGGAGAATGAATATCTATCTAGTTTCTTTGAGGTCTTGACTACTAGTGCAGATGAAGATAACCAGGTAATGGATGCAACACTTTTGTCATGTAGTTTTCTACACACTTGAAGAATTCTAATTCTTTTCCCAACATCTATTTTAGGTCTATGTCTCCACTGTACAAGCACGCAGCTATCCTGTGACTGCCTTCCAATGGCATCCTGAGGTATTGTGATTTTCTGTGAAGATGCATGTTTTGGTTGGGAAAATTCCAAATATGAGAGCTACATGCTAAGGAGATTCAGGAAGGAGGGCAAGTTCTGTATACCCTTAAAAAAAAAAAAAAAAAAAAAAATTTTGTGATAAAGGGAGGCAGCTGTTTTTGCTTTGTAGTTGCAGTAGAAATTTGCAAGTCAAACGTCACTCTTTGTGGTACATTTTGTGCCCTTCTACATGTAAAATACATGCAAACTACATGCTTACAGCTATTTCGTCATATAAGCAAGTCTTGTGTGTTTGTGTTTAAGCTGGGTCTGGTGCTTTTTCATACATCAGTTTGTGTATTTAGTTTAAAAAAATCAAACTGGTTTCCTTTTGTGAAGTTGAAAGACATGCCCAAGCAATGTAGGCAGTTTTTTTAATTAGCATTAGCTTGATGGTTAGCAAGAGAGGGTTGGGAGGTGGTGAGGATAAAATAACATCATAATATTTTATGGCTCAACTTAATTTCTAAACATGTTGAACATTGATCGTCATGGTGCTCATGTGCCAAATTTTCTCTTGTTTTTCCACATTTGCTTACTGTTATTATAAATTTACAATTGCTTATAGTAGCGGGACTGCTAGTGACTGAAATGTGACAATTTATCCGAATGCTTTCCAGAAAAATGCTTTTGAATGGGGGTTATCAATGATTCCGCACTCAGAGGATGCCATTCAAGTGACCCAACATGTTGCAAACTTCTTTGTCAGGTGAGGATTTTTTTGTGCTGAAAAGTTATTATTTTATGCTGCTAACTTTCAGATGTGCTGAGGAGGCAATTTGAGCTTTTCACTTTTTGAATTGAGGTTTTGCATATTTTTAAACAGATCCCAATAAAATAATCTTGTTGTTCACATGCATGTTACAACGAGTTTTATGAAGCTGCACAATTATTTATGTTGTATGCTTTAGTGTTCATGGAAATTTTGTAGTGGAAAGTATGAAGGCAAAGTTAATTTATGTTCAAACCTTTCAAAACACAGAATGATCAGATGATACATACAAGCTTATTAGATATATTTTACCAAGTGGTTATTTTGACGTTTTAACAAATAATGTTGCTTAAATTCATTCTATATTACTATATCATTATTGATATTGAAACTTGTGTTTTCTGTTCAGTTTATTTTCTGAGAACTGTCAAAAGTCAGCCTAAGGAAATTAAAGTCCTATTGCGTGCTTCTTGACTTCTTTCATTTTATCTATGATGCTTGATTGTTCGCAAAAGAGTAATCAGATGAAGCAAAAACTGATGTCAATGTTTGTTTTGTTCTGTAGTGAAGCTAGAAAGTCCTTGAACAGGCCACCTGCTCGGAAGGTACTCGACAATTTAATTTACAATTACAGTCCCACGTATTGTGGGAAAGCTGGGTAAGTGAATTGACTACTGAGATTAGATTGTTAACAAGTTTGGCGCATCAATTTATTGTTACCAAGGTTGGCATTTGCATTTACTGATTTGCATTCTATCATTTTATCCAACTGTAGGAAGGGATATGATGAAGTTTACATCTTCGCAGAACCAACGAGGTATGCGGTACATGATAATTGTCATGGACGTGTGAAGTTGTAAATATTTAATACTCAACACTTAGAAGTCTGAAGTTGTATCGTTGTCAACAGTGTAAGCTCAAGATTGGACTGAACTAATTGGCATTTGTCAATATTCAAGACTTGACGGTTTGTGTTCCCAAAATTCTCCCTGCTATTACACCACTGCCAACGAAGATGGTATATTTGCCTATTCTTCATGGCGTTCTGTTTCGTAACATAAAACTGTCTGTTTGACTATGACGTACAGTAAATGCTTGCGTATTAGTTAGTACATCAAAATCATTGGAACTGACTAATCTCAACAGCCAGACAAGATCTTGGCTTGAGGCTTGAGAGGATCAAAAGAGTGGGGCGAGAAAGGTAAGAGTTGGTGGAAATCCAAATCAAGGTTGGAAGGAAAGAGGATAAAGGAAATTTAGTAATTGGTACTAGCTGGGTGTCTGTGCTATGTTATGGGTTTGGTAAAATAAAATTATTTTAAAGTTTTATAATTTTTTAATTAAATCTTTTTGTTTGATTAATTGTTTCTTATGTTTTTTGTAAATTTTTTGTTTAAAAAAAACATAATTCATTATTCTTTATGTATTGATTTTGAAATAAAAATTTGTAATAGTTTTAATTAAAATATTAATCAAGAATTAAAAAAACTTGAAAAATATATTTTCTATAATATCTTATTCGAAAAAAATAAATTTATAATTAATAAATATATAATTAATAAATATTTTTTCTTTATGAAAATTAACAAATGAAAAAGATTTTTATTTAATGTTGATGAGAAGATTAATTTTTAAATTTTCTCTAAAACGTTGTGGGTAGATATGATAAAATAATTTATAATTTTATAATTTTTGATTGATTTTTTATTTAACTATTATTATTATTTTTGTGTTTTTTTATAAAATTTCTATATTTATTCTTCTTTATTTATGGATTCAAACTTGTAAAAATTTAAAATTGAAATATTAATTAAGAGTTCAATATATATTAAAAAAAAAAGTTGCAATTAATGTATAGATTTGGATAAAAATTAATTAAAAAATAAAATTTTTATTTTTATTTAATGTTGATGAGGAGATTTATTTATTTATTTTTAGTATTTGTATTTGATTTATATATATTTATTTACAAAATAATTAAGAAGATTAGTATAAAAAATTGTATTTTGAATAATTGATTATTTTTTTAAAAAATATTTTAATTATTTTATTTAAATAAATTGATTCTATAATGTTAAAACATATATTCATAGCAAATAATTTGTATTATGATGGAAGATATATAGTTAATTTTTAATAAAAATAATGATTCAATAATTTTTTTTATATTGTTTGATCATACTTAATGAAAAAAGATAAATTTCTGAAATACATTTTTAACCTTTTAATATATATATATAACTTAAAATTCTAAGAATTCATGATATATATTATATTAATTAATTTTTTTAAAAAGAAAAAAATAATCATGTTTTAAAATTTTATTCTAAATTCAAACATAAAGGAAAATAAATTATATTTATTACTAAATAAAATTCTATATAAAAAAATTAATTGAATGAGAATTTTTATAAAAAAAAAATTTAAAAAATAAAACTTAAATGATACGATTAATATAAGTTAAAGTATATATTAATTTTAAAATATAAACAAGTTAGTTTCTTTTTATAGCTTGATTATCTTCCAAACTACAGCGTATAAAACATTGATTTAAATTGAAATATTAATTTCTTCACATTATTCTCATTCTTGGATTGTGCTATTTCTAGACATCTTTTATTATTCTTATTATTAGAAAGTGTATTGTACAATAATGTACGAAATGTAGTGACCAAACATCTATGTTGCGAGTGCAGAAAGAGTTTAAAAGATCTAAACCAACAACTATATGCCTAAAATTTCAATAACGAACTCGACAAAGAGAGAGTATATATATATATAACTCATAATTCATTAAAAGTTTATATGGACAATAAAAGATCTGTTCAAGTCAACTAAAAATAAAAGATATAAGCAGCCAAATAAATGATATAATGTTATCTCCAAAGTCAGCAAGATTAACACATTTAGCAATCACATTAATGATAATTATCAATGTCAACACAATGGACACATTGACAACAATAAAGTCCTCTGGTGGAAACAAATGACATGATTCTAGCTAATGTCATGGACATGAACTTATCTTAGTTTTAAAGTCTTAAACAGAAAATATTGATATTAGCAAAACAACTTAGAACCATCTCCTCTAAAGAACATGAGCGCATGTGATAAAAAGAATCCAGCCACTATTTAAAAATAAAAAAGCAAAAGCATAATAGTAGGTGCAGAAAATGATAAAAAGCAAGAAATAAGCCTTCAATAGGGTCTAACTTACGCATCAGATGTTCCTAATGGCCAATTATTCTAGGAATGGAAGTAATTAATCTAAAATAGAAGCAACGTGGCTCAACAAATTGCATGAGATCATTATCGATCAAAACATTAGTCTAAAATTAGAACATGACTTAAATAAATCCAGCATATTATTCAAATTGGTTTCTAATCACATTTAAGAAGCATAAAACTTGTATGCAAAAAAACCTGCTCCTGCTAAAATTGGTCGAACAAAACAAATTGTTCCTTAAGCCATTTTCTCTAGCAACAAAAAAATGTGTTTCACCGGGAATTCGTCCTTCTGGCGAACCTGATATCACCAATTGAAAACTATACTCCTAGTTGATTCTGGAACTCTTGTTTGTTTAACTGTAGCCACGTTTGGTGGCAAGGAAGCCATTCCAATCAAATAATCAGTGGCATCCAGATTTGGAAGATGATTGTTCTGTCACTTCCTCGTATCCTCTTTCTAGCAGATTCAGTTTGAACTAATTTTCTTTGGTCCATCAGACTTCTGTCACCTCTGTAGCTCTATATATTTTCATGATTTCATACCTTGACTCTGCATAGTACCAACAACATCTACATGGCGTGTTAATTCCAAGCTACATGCTAAAGAAGCCCCCTTAGAAGCAGTGAACGTGTTGAAAAGCAGAAGTAGGTACTGCCTTTATCACCTTGTTTCATTCGGAGTTTAAGTTCTTTCTTTCATTGTAATTTCCGCATCTTCAAAAATCAATGAAATGGACTTAAATTAGACATACATACTCTAAATTATTATTTTTTTTAAAAAAGAGATACAATTACCGTAAATTATATTATATATATATATATATATATATATATATATATATATATATATATATATATATAGTTGATTTTGTTAAATGAAAATGCATACAGAAATAAAAAATTTATCCCTAATTTTTGCTTCTTCTTGAAAACTGTTTGTATCATTGATAATTAATGAAGTACTTATAATTTTTGGTTCTTCATGCGAGTCGCTGCTCAGTGACAATTAAAGTAGCATCTATAGTTCATGTATCATAAAAAATTAACATCAAATGGACATAAGCTAAGTATAACTAAAAATATCAAAGCTAAATATAAATAAAAATATCAAAATACATGATTGGAGCTCTGTTTTCGGCACTGGCTGTAGCTGTTTATGCGAGCGCTCCTTTTTTTTTTCCTTTATTTTCTAATATTTTTTCATCAATTAATCTTCAAAAGGAGAAGCTATGTCAACCCTGAAGTAGCACAATCATGTAATCCTTGTATCTCCCCTGTTTCAATCTTTATTTTTGTGCAAGTTCAGGTTTTCTGAACTTCAGTCATTTCTAAAACCAGTCGAGCATTTTCATTTATGTGTTTACAGCTTTCTATTCGTGTTCTCTTCACGATCTTGTCTGTTTTATTTTCTTCTTTGATGGGTTGATATTTAGGCCTAAATATTCAAGCCATAAAATTAAAGTGAACTGAATGTTGAGACGTGTGTCAAAGAAAGTGTACGTTGTTTTACTGTAACAATGCTTATATTTAGTTTCATCTACTTTCTTCGTTATTTTTTTATTTCATCTAAGTGCACAGCTTGAATATTTTCCTATCTACTTCACAGCTTTTGATGATGTTAAGCTCATTTTCCCTTGATTGCTTCCAGTGACTTGTCCCAATGCAACGGCTAAACGACTATCTTCAACTGATCCGAGTGAGAAACCGAATAACATCTGACATTTGGAATAGAGATATTTTTTTTAAAGCATATTAGGTGATGCCCTGAAATAACCAATTAAAAAACCAATCATGAAAACGAGAATTACATGAAACATATGGGGTGCGGCTATTTCTAGCCAAAAATAGTTGCATCTCAGCTCAACTTACCAAAGCATAGCATTAATGTTGAATAAAAATGCATGGCGAAAGATAAGTAGGTACTCATGAAATGAATAGAAAAAACAATACAAAGACTGCATGCAATGTCAAGCTACTGTAAAAAATAAGCACATAGAATAATTCAGGAAAAACTTTGATATGAAGAAACAATGAAGAATTAAACTCCTTGTCACAATTTCTACATGCTTTCTCTAGAGAATTAGGGGACGTTAATATAACTGCATTCCACGATTTACATGAATTGAACAAAAAATTTAAAAACCATTTCAACACTATCACCTAAGCAGTCTCCAAAAAGCAAAGATCAACTAATCGAATGCTATGCAATAATCAACAAAGCTTTTAAAAATCCTCTAGGATAGCAGTCATGCTCCATTTCACTACACTAAAAAAGAATATTGCGGGCAGTTTTTTTTTATCTTTTAGAACGGTTATAATTGCCTTTACGGATTGTAGAGATAGTTTTTTGGACCATTCCAAGACTCGCTTGCAATGCCACCTTCTCTACAATGTAGAGGCCGTTTTGCCAACTCGCCGGGAATTCCGAGATGGCTAGTTGCGGTAGTTTGAATTGCCTCACTTTATTTTTTTTTTGAGGCGGTTCTAATCGCCTTTACGATGCCAATTTTATCTTCTAAGATTTTTTGACGCATAATGTTTGGGGCGGTTTAGAACCGCCTCTACATTCCCGCATTTGTTTTTCAAATTTTGCACGAAATATTTGGGACGGTTGTAACCGCCGCAAGGTTAA